GTCCTCTCTGTGGGATCTGTGGCAGGAAAAGGGAGGACAGGGCCGTTCACTGTCACAATAGTCCTCAGAAGGTCTCTCCCCAAGCTCCTTCCCAGACTCCTCTCCAGGGTCCGCCTGGGCCTGGCCTCCTCTGCTCTTTCTGCTCTTCAGTGTAGACAGCTCTCTGCTATCCTCAGTCACCGCAATCTTCCCAGTAGTATGCAAAACCTTAAGCCTTGAGAAACTCACAGTGAAGTCTAGCTTACATTTCTGTTTTAAGTATTTGTGGATGTGTGCCAGCTGCACAGGCACTGCCTCCGAATTAGCAGCCCCACTCACTGTGCCGTCCATCGCACAGGCCCTGAAGTCTCTGCTTTAAGAGGCTGTTATCCAGGGCAAAAGAAGAAAAGAGGCTGTTAATTAGAAGCAACTAGAGGCTGTCAGGAGACCAGCCAGTGCTAGCAGGAAAGAGGTCCTCCGGGACAAACAAGACAAACTGCTAGGGAAGCAGAGAGATGCTAAAAGGAAAAGAAACCAGGCCTCTGACTGTGTGTGCAGAGTGCTGTGGACAGCGTGTGGCCAACTCTGCACTCCATCCTCCAGGGGCAATGTGAGTCACTGAGGTGTGGGCACGAGGGGAGTCCCCAGAGGACCCTGTGAGAAACAGGCACTGCACCAAATCAGTTTGGACCTGACAGTCATAACAGTCTAGCAGGGAGAGGCCATCCCAGAAAAGCAAGGGCTTCTGCTGACAGTAATGGGGGTAAGGGTGGCCAGAAGCTTGCTGCTCCTGCAGCAGCCTATGGAAGAGTGGAAAAGGGAAACCAGGTCTGAGAATGGCCCTATGGTTGTATCACAGAAAAGCTACTGTTTCTCCAACCATGGTGGCTTCTATGCTATATCTACCCAGACAAACCCCAGAGAGGTAATACCGGTTTCAGCTTCTCTTTCCTCCTCAACCCCACTCCCAGGTGACTCCACCCTTGCTCCTTTCAGTCACAGTCTCTGTGAGACTCTGGTGTCAATGGTGAGTCAGGATGACAGGAAAGCCTTTAGTCAGAGGGAAAATCAAGTCTGTGATGCTCTGCTGCAATAAATCAGGATATAAGATGATCTACTGTTTCCGTATGTGAACGGACCAGTAACACTAAGAGACTTCATGAGACGGAAAACCCAGCCCCGAGACATGAAAGGCTCCATGGAGAGATGAGGAAGTACTGCCTAGAGCTAAGGGCCATGCCCTCTTCACATTACTAAAGGAGATGGTATAAGTCCCAGGGTAGAGAAACCAGTCTTGCTGTAACACACTGGAGTCAGCAAGGCCTAGGGGCCCCACCCACTTCTGTTCAACTGTAGAGTCCAAATAAATGGCTTCTGCCAACAGCAGCCCTCATGACTAGGACTCAGACTTCAGGACAACTTTGTCTTCCCTCTGTGGTATTTTTAAAAGAAAGAGAACAGTGGTTTTTGTCAGTATTTAAACTACAAATACAGTAACTTCTCATAGTAATCTGGACTAAGAACCCCAGCCTGGGCTACATAGTAAATTTATAGACAGCCTGGGCTATACAGCAAGACTCTGTCTCAAAAAAGGGTATGGGGTAGAAAAAGAAAGAAGTTAACTAAGACTAGGTGTGGTAGTAAATACCTGTAATACCAGGAATTAGGCTGAGGCAGGAAGACTGCCACAAACCCAGCAATGTTTACATAGCAAGACAGTCCTGTCTCAAACAAAACAAAACAAAACAAAGCCCACAAAAAACAGGGCATGGTAAAATATGTCTTTAATGTCAGCACTGAGAGACAGAGGCAGGTGGATCTCTGGGAGTTTAAAGCTAGCCTGGTCTCCATACCACCAGGTCTAGCAGGAGCTACATTGTTGAGTTTGTATCAAAAAACAAAAGCAAAAACAAAAATACCAAAAAGGAAACAAAAACTCAATGCAGTGAGTCTAGTGCTTGGTCTGGGCACAAGTGAACAGTAAATCACCTTAAGGAGAATACACAGGCTGCAGCTCATAAAGACTCCAGTCAAGAGTATACAAGGGAGCTGAGCATGATAGTGCATGCCTGTAATCTCAACATCCAGGAGCCTCAAACACAAGGATCAGAAATTTGAGGCCAGTTTGTGATACAGACTATGTTCTAAACCAGTCTGAGAAACATAATGAAATCCTGTTTCAAAACAAACAACCCAGGTACATGCCTTTAATCCCAGTATTTGCATGCCTTTAATCCCAGCACTTGGGAGGCAGAGGCAATCTCTGAGTTTGAGGCCAGCCTGGTCTACAGAGTTCCAGGGTAGCCAGGACTACAAAGAGACCCTATTTTAAACTGAAAGTTTATTTCTCCGCCACTGATGAAATGAACCAATTAAAACCAGATTAATTATATTAAAGGCTGTTATCTGTCGGGCAAGTTCACTGACCCCAACCAAGGATTGAGGGCCAGGGGAGTCTCCATGGAGAAAGAGGATGGGTGGGGTTAGAGGAGAAAGAGAGAAAGAGAGAAGGGGCACTTTTATGAAGAGAGAAAGAGCATGACCAAAATGTCTGGATTATGTAGGGAAGGGCCTCTGGAAAAAGGGCAGCCTGGCCCCTGTGTTGGAAAGTTCAGGGTTGGGGACAGGGTGTGCCAGATGGGAAATGAGGGATGCTGGGAGGACCTGGAGGCCAGGTCTGCTTTAGTATGTAAAATATGCACCTCAAGCCCTTGTCCCCGGTCTGAAACCAAACACAAACCACCCCCAAAAGGTGTATATATATAGAAGAAATTGGGCATAGTAGTCCATTCCATTAATCCAGTATTAGGAAGGCTAAACCAGGATTATGAGTTCAAGACCAGCCTGCCTTACATTTTTCTTGTCTGAAAGGAACAAGAACGACTGTTTTCTAAGAGACAGACAATTACATCGGTATTTGCTTGAATTATTAACTGAAGGCAAGAATATGTTCTGTATGATTCTGTTTATATTGCATTTTAAAACAAAGTTTGAGGTAAGTGATGTTAGAAGAGTGGTTACCTCTGGCAGGGAGGGAAGAGCAGTGACAGAACTGCAAGGCTGAGACGTAGGGACAAGACCAGCAGGAATTTTCTGGACCTCTCTTATCTGGAGACTATCCACAGTTTGTGTGTTTCATTGCATGCAAGCATAGTAACTCAATAATATGCTAAAAGGGGTGGGCGTGCCAATTACCAACCGTGACTCTCACCAAATGCACTACACAAGCTGAGGGCATAACCATTCTTAGAAAGTGCAAGAACCTAACCAAGACACCGCTGATCTCTCCGCCAGCACTTTTGTCATTGACCTCGACCTCTTTTTGTTTGTTTGTCGAGACAGCATTTCTCTTTGTAGCCTCGGTGTTCTGGAGCTCGCTCTGAAGAGCAGGCTGGCCTCAAACTTGCAGAGTTACCTTCCAAGTACTGGGATTAAGAGCGTACATCAACCTCTTAACCTCCAGATTTAACACGTGTAAGAAGAATGAAGGAATCCACTGGTATCAACCATCTTTGTACCCCTCCATGTTGTTCACTGGAAAGACCCCTCAGATTCCCACCGGGTGTCTGCAGGATGTGCTATGGGTGACCCGCGAACTTCTCATGAACAAAGATACAGAAAACAAGTCCTGCCGGAACTGGAAGACCCTGCTAAACCGATTTTAACCTCCTCCATTACTATATGACGCGGGTGACCTTTTGATTAAAACCACAGGTCCAACCTATGACTCAAATATACTAACTTCCAGCAAAAAATTAGGACGTTCTTCGGAAAGTACTGAAACCTCCCCCGACACCCCCCCCATACTGGCACTGCGCACGCGCCTCAGGCTCCGCCCCTCCCCGCGCAAGCGTTTCGGCGCCTCTCGGGCCTGCGCATGCGTTCCTGTTCCCGTACACTACCTGAGCAAAGCCGGAGGCCGACAGCTTTTTCTTCTTACTAGCACCGTACCCCCCTCCACTGCTGTTGTGAGAAGGGCTAGCCGGCCTCTTCTTGCTGTTCCTAGCTACGGCGGGGGTAGAAGTAGCAGCCACGATTGGAATTTGAGCCGCCATTCTGCCCTCAGTCGGCCTGCGGCTCCCCGCCCCCACCCCTCCCAATGCGAGCCCTAGAACTTCCGGCTAGATGTTACTTCCGTGTTGTTGCTCGGAAACTCCGCGAACCTCCAGGAGCTTAACAGTGTCCTTCCCCAGCCGCTCTTAGGAGGCGGGGCTCGGAAGTGTTTCTTCCGGGTCGGAAGGCGTCGGGCTGGTGACTGCTGCTGGCGTTGTGAACCTTGGCCTGGAGCACGTGCTTGGAGGAGCCCAGTGAGCATCCGGTCTTTTAGTAGCTTCATTCTTTTTCTTGGTTTCTAGACAGGGTCTCTGGATGATCTGCAGCTCACTATGTAGACCAGGCTGACCTCAAACTCATGTTATCTTTGAATTCTAAACTCTCCATCCTCCACCTTCCAGATGGCAGGATTACAGTGACTTGCAAGTCACTGATGCATTATAATTATGTTTGGATGCAGTAAACAAACCAAAAAAAAAAAAAGATTGAATCCTTACAACTTAGTAGTTAAAGCAGCTATATGAATCTGGATTATTTGTAACAGGTTGGAGATTGATGCAGAAGCAAAGGAACAGTGACGGGAAAAGGACTGAGTAATATTGTTACCGACACCCCTTCTGGTGTGGAAATTGTATTTCCTATGCCAGATCGCCTCCCCTATCCTCACCTTGTCAATTTTCCTTATGCCTTGTCTCTGGGACACATGCCTCCCAAGCACCAATCACTCAAGCAAACCTCTTAATCCAGCTACTCCTTCCACTTAATCTTCATCTTTTCTGTTCCTACCTCAGGGATTCGGTCCCCCATGTGATCCCTGTGACAGTCTCCAAATGGAAGTCTGAGTTGCGGTCATTTCAGAATCCATCCCTGGCTCCAAGGCCCTCATGCTCACTGGCTGCTAGGATGGGCTTTTAGATCTGACTGTAGCGCTTAACTTCCTTATGTACAGGCCTCTTTATCCTCTAGATAAAAACCATATAACTTTAGTTTAGCACATTAAGTTCTTAATAGCTCAGGCTTACCCCTCTTTTGTTCAGTTCTCAACAACAACCAACAACAAATCTTTGTGCCCATGCCAGAGACAAATTCTATTTCCTAGGGTATCTGGTCTCTGAACTCATGCTTTTATTTCCATTGTTGCCTGGCTCCTGGCCTGGTGACATCCATTTTGCCTCAGTTCAAATTCTAGCTCTACTAAGCAGCTGATGTACCCCTCCTTGCCTTTGCCTTGCCCTCTGAATTTTGTGCATATGACTCTGAAGACACTGGCCTACTTCTTGTAATGTTTACGGAGTTCAGATATGAAGGAGTCAGACAAGTGGATGGAATACCATTTGACTTCCAGCCACCAAATTCAAATGCAATCTCTTGATTGCTTTCTTCCTGAAATTCTCCCCCTGGTCTCTAAAATGGCTCCGTCCTCTTTTTTCCTGCTAAACTCCGGTTGTGTCTTTGACAGTTGCCTTGTTTTATCAAATGCTTTGTAATGCTACTGTCTGGTTTTCAAAATTGTAGCATATAGTCAAATCCCCATGGAGATACATTTTTAATGTTTCCCAGGAGTCATCATGAGTAGCCATGATTGAACCAGGATCTTCTTGTTCCATTCTTTTACATTGAGAAGTCCCTGATGTCTGAGGCCCTCTGCCCTTACAAGTCTATACATTTCCCAGCCGTTCCAATAGCTCCTAGGTCCTGAGTTGCCATCTCCCTTATGAGATGTCTCCTTGCTTCCATTTTGATGACTGTGTGAGTCATTATTTTCAGTTCCAGATGACAGACTCTGCATTTTCAGATCATGCTTTCCATCTGAAACCCTTCCTTGTCTCTTTGCAGTTCCTAGAATGAAGCTGACTGTCCATAACATTGTTTTAACGGCCTTTAGAAACCTACCATCTCTGCAGACTGACCTCTTCAGGTCTCTCACTCCCTCTCAGTTTCTACTTTTGTCAGTCCCAAAAAAACAGCTGGGTTCCCGTCTCCCTCAAGGCCTAGACACACATTGCTCCCCCTGTATGAGTGTTACTTTTTTTTTCCAGTTCCTGACTCCTATAGTTGGCTAATTTTTAGTTTTCCCCATCTTTCTGATCCAGTTCCGTGTTACCACAAGTCTCAGTCACCCAGTACCTATTTATTGTCTTTTATACTCTAATTCTGTAGGGTGGAGATTAGAAGGAGCAAAAAGACAATTAGTTCCTGTTCTTAGGGAGCCCCCAATCTAGTAGGGAAGAAGACATTTGTTGTAGTAAATCCTGTCTCCCCAGCTGGATATAAGCTGCCAGTGTGCAGTTATCAGAGTCATCAAGGACTGAGCAGCAGAGCGTCAACAGCTGGTGGCAATAAAGAGGTGAGAATGCTGAAGGACATCCGCATAAGTTACAAAGGCTTTAAGCTGGCCAGAAACTTGCCCCACATCCACCATGGGAGCACTGGTCACTGCCCACTGACAGCACATGGAGAAACCTCTTATACTTCACTACATGCATAACGCACATGTTATCTATGAACATTGGAACGGAGCAGTGACCAACAGCTCTGGCCCATATTTAGCTAGTGACTTTCTCCTAAACTCCCAGCCAGCCCTGGAAAGTTGAAAGGCATAGCACCTCTGCTGCCAGATGTGCTCTTTTGTGGGCTGCCTCTGCAGCTTCTTTACTGGTCCCTGAAGCCTCTAGGGCCCTCGCCAGTGCCACAGTTCTTTCACTAAATGCTATTAAAGCCTTCCTGTGATGCTAGTGACACTAGACTGAGTGTACCAGTTAAGCAGAGCTTTGATCCCAGTTAAGATTTAAAGATTACAAGTAAATAACATACTCACTAAGCTATTGCATATTTTGAGACATAGAGTGCCTGGTTTATTGTCTGAAAAAAGCTCAGGAAATACAGTGGATATTTAGGATCAGGCTGTTTTTGCTGGCTGGAAAACAAGCTGTGCATTTCCTCTCCATCATTTGCATGAAATATACAAATCATAATTTCCATGTAAAACATGGCTAGTAAAGGATTCCTCACTGATGAGTATTAACCTTGAAACTGCTGAAGTCAAGATGCTGAGAAAGCTCTCCCAGCTCCCATAAGCCCTTGCTCCTCAGTCTATCCTGATATGTGAACATGTGCAGAGCTCCAACCCATGCATCCAACTACAGCCTCCTATTGACCACCCCTCAGGACTGTGGGGTGATGCACTTAGCCTAGGAACAAGGTACTCAGTGGCCCTGAAAAGGGGACAAGCCTGTTTGAGTAAAGACTCTGAGGTTCTAGAGTAGGTTCTAGAAGTATAAGCCAATAACCTGGGCAGACCCTCTTCTTTGTTTCTATCTCTTTGCCTGTAGACAGGCAAAGTCAAAAGAGGGCCATCCTGCCCAGTCAAGGGTGTCACCTGGAGACTAGGTCTCAGTCTAGAGAAGGCCCCGGATGGACTTGAGAAAGGGGTATGGAACTCCAGTTTTCCCCACTGTTGAGCTGGGAGAGAGAACGGGCCCAAGAGAAGACGCACTGTTGTCTGAGGTGGTCGAAGTTGATGTGATCTTCATCTCTTAGTCCCAGTTTTCACAAAACATGGGGAGAGGAAGAAACCATAGCATGTGCAAAGTGTCAAAGACTTCAGAAGGCCCAGAGCAAGGCTCAAAGAAGCCACTCTAAGGGATTGTGAGGGACAGCCTCCTGACAGTGTGATTAGACTCAGCTCACTTCCAGGACACCCTTTATAGCCACTGCAGTGTAAATGGTCAGATATTGATCCTTTTTTTCTCAGACACAGCTAGGATATCCATGCTCATGAAAATTTGATTCCCAATGAGTGTTGCTTTACAAAGTCTGAATAAAGGAGAACAGATTTTATAGACTATTTTGCTTACTGAATTGGCTTTTTAAATGTTAAGTAAATACCAATTTAGCATTACACATACAGCCCTAAAAGGGCTGACAAAGATGTCCCAAATAGTGGGCTTCTTGTCTCATTGTAAGAGCCGGGATCCTGCTAGAAGAGTGGTATTCCTCTGGCCCTCAGTACCCATCCCTTTGATTCTGCCTCTGGGCATTGGTCCTCCCCTCTGTCTTACCAGAGGCCCTACCCATCATTTAGCATGAGCTGTTATTTTTACACATACTCTTTGTGCATATCATAGAGAAAGAAACTGATGATTACTGTAATTCTCCCATCTCTGAGGTTCTCTTCTTTTTTTGCTCTCCCCAAACCTCAAACTTGATAATACTCAACTGTAACATGTTGTCTCCTTAAATTATCAGCCTGCTTCTTTCCCCACTGTATCATTTGCCTAACTGCTGCTACGCTGTTCATTTGTGTTTATGCCTAACACTTGGATTCTGTCACGGTACCAGCACATTGAGATAGTACTAGAGAAGGTCAGTCTAAAAACTTTAGAAACAGTTGCTTATGGAATTAGCAATAAAGACTTGTTTGGTAAAATTCGGGGGTCGGGGGGACTCTCAAAGGCAGAGAAACCAAGGCCTCTTCCAAGACATCTCTTACTCAGTCCCCATCAGACATTCCTGCTCCTTCTCTTCAGTTGCTGAGCCAAGTAGTCCAGCTCCCACAAAGCTCCAGCCTAGGGACACAATGGGTATGGCAAGGGGAAGGTGTGGCTAAGGACAGAGAGTCCTTCGGTTAAAGGAACAATGTGAAACAGGTTGGCAGCAGTCTTCCTGGATACAGCCCTAGACAGAATCCAGATTTGGTGGAACAAAGACAGTCCTGTTCTCTGCCTTGCCCAGGGGAGCCTGCTGCTGTTCGAAAGAACCAGAGACCAAATGTGCTCCTGTTTGTTTGTTTGTTTGTTTGTTTTTAATCTTCCATCATATAAAGACTCAAACTACATAGGATAATCCACATCATGACTCAGTCTTTCTTTTGTAAATCTCGCTAAGAACACTTGATTGCAGAGCAGCTGCTCACTGAGTTCAGCTGCCCATACCAACTGACCACACTAGCCCGGTCTACAGGGCTCTAGCAGGCTGAGCTCCACCCCGCCTGGATCCACCACTGCCTTAGCTCTTTAGAGCCCAGTTCCTGGACTTATGTGACTAATGTTCCTGACTTCTCCCTAACCCCACACTCACTTTGACAAACCTACTGTGGG